TCAGGGTGTTGCAGGTCCCCATAGTAATTAGCTGCATATGATTAGAGGATTCTTCTAGTATTCATTTTTGTGATTGGAGCAAACTTCTCTAGTGGTCAACCTCGTAACTTTGATAAAACCTTTTGCCATTAACTAGGCTATAAATTTGTTAATTGTTCCATCAAATTTAAGCTTTACAATAAACATCCACCTGCAGCTTACTGTTTCTTTTCCCAAGGAAGATTAACAAGTTCTCATGTAACTGTAGTAGAGAAAAATACTGTTTGAATCCCAAAATGTGACATCCATACTACCAAATAATTTTCTAATGAAAAGGTGATAGCATTTATAGCCTTTTCGTACAGCAGAATATCTGATAAAAATACAGTTGAGAGCTAGAGATTTTAATTTTCTCATGTTTCTCATATGGACAAAACAGACACACCCATAGATCTTACAAGGTGACAACGTAGGAATTGCTACTTCATAAAATTTCTAGGGTCTTTCAATACCCAATGTTCTTAAAGCCAATCAATTGATAAGATAGGTTGTTGTCAACATTTGATCCACCCTATAGAGCTTTAAAACCCTCATAACGAACATGAGAGCTTTAGCAATCTCTAGTAAGTGTCTATTTTTTCTTTCAGCAACTCCATTATGAGCATTAGCATTGATATAACTAGTTTGGTATACTCTCCCATGGACGTCAAGGTACATATGAAAGAAATCATTCATGTATTATGTGTCATGTATTATGTGTCATTGTGAGAGCAGAAAAGTTTGATTTTGGTAGTGAACTGAATAGATACCATCTCATAGAATGACTAAGAAAATACTTCATTTTTTGCATGTAAGACGCACCCATGTCATTTCAGTACAACAACTCTCTTTAGCATGACATTGTTTATCACACTAATTACAAGTAGATGATCTTTGTCCGACATACCTTGGTTACTGGTCCTTGGCTGTTCAGGGTCTATCCCAGCAACCAAAGGGTGTCTATGCCAGTTGGATGATAATGTTTTCGTGACTCTATACAAGCTGAACATAGGAGTAGGCATGTTGTAGTGAAGGTAATGGATCTGGACCAAGAACTTGGACCTGAATCTGGTTATATTCTATATTAACACTAGCAAGAAAGTTATAGACCCATTCTTTTCCCAATTAATTTTTGAAATTTTGCTGCATCTAGAGGACAGTCGAGTTGAAAATCTTGGAAAGAATCTAATTCCTTCCATTGACCACTCAGCTCAACAAAATATTGGTTAAGAGTCATCTTACCTTGTTTCACAATTCATAAATTTGTTCATCAGTGCCAACTTGGGAGTATGTCTGAAATGCAACATTCAAAATTTTATGGCCACTATCAAGAAGCAAATAGTCACAAAAAATTTGTGGTTGCATTGAATTGATAAGCCAAGACATAACAAGTGAATTTCCACATTCCACTAGTTGAGCATAGGGTCTGTACCAGCTGGTTTGTATTTCTTGTACCATACCTTTTATCCCAGGCTTGAATGAAGAATAAGCAAGATCTTCACCATGCAAGGTAACTGGTTCCTTCTAAATTTATTGGGCAATTTATAGAGAAGAATTTTTTTTAAAGGCTCAAACTTTCCAGCACTCACCTCTTTATTTTTTGCCAAATGTTCTTTGTCCAAAAGAGAAAGATCAATAATAATTACACTTACTCACTAAAAGAAATATGTCCCCCTTCAGTGCGACTGCCTCTCTGTGTCTAAGATTCTGTGTGAAAGCTAGGCGTCACATGGCTGCCTTTCAGTATGTCAACTCCCTCTTCAAGGAGAAGGAATGTTGGCTTGAAATATTTCTTCTTGGGCTGCTGCAACAAGCATCGTCCAACAACTAATATCACCATGTTGTTTTCCAGACATCGACTCTTTTCGTCTGCATCTACAAGCAAATTCTCCAGCGCTGCAAAACATCCCGGCAATAGTTACCCACTTCTTTCTGCAAGGGAGCTCTCATAGGACAGCATAGCTCCAGTTATCTTTGATTCTCTCTTACCAAAACAGAAACCAAGCAAACGATTGAGTAAGACAATCGGTCTTTGTCTGCAATCCTCAACTTGGTTGTGTTAAGTCGTTGCTACTTTCTTACTAGATGCATGATTGAGCCAGACCGTTAGTCTCTGTTCATTGGTTCTTTCGATCCAGAAACAACAGCCACTTGGAAGAACCAACTGAAACAACAAGCCATCTAGAAGAGTCGACTGCCTAGCATCTAGTAGGGAACTTTCTGAGATAAAAAGTATGAACAGAACCAACTGAACCAACAACCCATCTAGAAGAGTCGACTGCCTAGCACCTAATAGAGACCTAAAATCGCACGAAGCCTGTTCTGACTTCAGTTTACGCGTACCGTAGTTAGACTGTTATGGATGCAACCGAATGTCCAATTGGCTGTCTAAATGCGCAGCAATCATGAGTATGACTCTGATACTATGTTGAAAACTTGACAAAAAACATAAAATGGAGGAAGTAAGCTTTTTGTTGTATGCTTCATATGTACTTCTAGACATTTATATACTAGTGATTTTGTTGATAATGATTTCATGTTATGTAGGATATTTTATTATTTAGAGTTCTAATAATAAAGTTATATCATGTAATTAGAATCCTCTTAAAATAAGAATAATTCACTCTATATATATCATAAGTGTAAACACAAAAAATAAAAAATAGTAGTATATTTTTCCTAAAAATCATCAGACTTGTATATGGAATGAGCTATATATGGTTATAGATTTATTTCAGAACTAAGAATATTTACATCTTAATAAGAGAGAGATGATGATACAAATGGAAAGTGAGGATTCTAGAGTTATTGCAAATATTATGGAATTACCATAAAGAACATATAAATGCGTATATCTACCATGTACATTTACATGGGTATTTAAATAACTCTTTTATTGTCAACATGGGATAAATATATGTTACCAGTATTTGTTGATAATTAAATAGAATCTGAAGTTATCTGATACAGTTATAAGATGACTTCAATAGAGCTAAAAATCATCTGCTCGTGATGATAAAAAAATTTTACTTACACTACAATTTACCATCATGTGTCTATAATGAAAGCCTTTGGTGTTACCAATCTCTTTGCAACCTCCCTCTAAAATAGTCTTCTCTAGAAAATCATCATAGTGCTAAACATTTAAAGTCTGTTTATAAATAAAAGGGTAGCCTTTCATGAAAGAAGTGAGAATTTGACAATTATTGGTCAAATCACATCAATTGAACAATCGAATATTAGATACTAAGCCATTGATCAAAAATCAGATAAGCAAGAGTTTTAAAAAAATCAAAAGTTAACTGCTATGTCCTACAATAATATCAGTCACAAGATATTTGACCTTGTGATATTATATACAATTCATCTGATTAACTGGTTAACTTAGAAAGAAATAACTAGTTAAACTTGTGTTTGTGCATATAAATATCTCTAGCATTGGATTTAATGTTGCATGTGATTAAGAGATTTAATTGATGCATGCAATCATATTGAATAATGAACAAATCCTACATTATATTAATTTAATAATTATAATAACTAAAACCTTTCATATTGATTGAATAAAATGTATTTATGAAGGTGTACCATGAAACTTTACCCTTGTTTTGTGGATCATGTAAATGACTTCTTAGTGAACCTTTTTGGGCATATTCATAAATAAGAAAGAGCTCGTCATTGCTAGCTGCATAGCCAATCAGTTCTACCTTTGACAAAATTAAACAAAAACAAAATGTGTCAAAACCTAAGGAATCCAACAAACTTTCCGATGTAAGGAGAAATAGAATTTGACTTAGACGATTACCAGATTTGTATGATGGACCTTGCAGAGGACTTTCATCTCTGACATAAATTCTTTTGTTTTTGTAGCAGTCATTCTTTTTATAGCAACCTCCTGGGAGGAGTCAAATTCAAATCACTAATTGATAGAACGAAGCTCACTATAGCTAGGAGATGTAACTAGGACTAAAGTATACCTGGTCCCGGAGCAGGCCATAATATACTGAACCATAAGTTCCATGGCCAAGAAGACTGGAATCAGAAAACCCATCAGTTGCCGATAGGATTTCTTCATAGGTGAAAACAACAGGCTTCTCCATTTCGAACACATCAGTATTCAGAGCTGTAAGAAAGGTGACAAAAATATCAAGCCTAATCAATCTTTTATTTTTCACATCAAGTCAATCTTTTAGTACTTTATAATCTTTCAACAGCTAAAACGAGATATGTCATTCTCAGAAACCAAGGAATTAATTCTTACATTTTTTTAATATCAAAGCCTTGATTAGGTCTTGTTTGTGTTTACATAAGCACCTTGAGCCAAAAGCCCTTTTTATTTTCCATTGCCTATTTTAACTCACTTAGGTCTAAATTATCAAAAGAATTTTGGTCATGCTATGTGTTTATATTCCTCCTTAAGCACCAATAATCTTTTCCTATCATGAGAGTTCCGGTCAGGATTCTGCAGTATGTAGTAGCAGTTCAGGATTGTCTCACCAATGTCAGAAGACCT